AGAACTGTCAGATGACCGTCACTGGAGGCAAAACATTGAAACACAACGTCACTTTTCTTATTTGTTTACAAGTGATCGAAATAGTTTTTCCAAATTATTTTGGCATACGAATCGTATTTTTTCGCTATTCATCAATTCGCTCATGCCATCATATTATGCTGTTGTGAAATGCACAAAAACTGCAGCGGAAGACGAAGTAATCCGGTTGGTACATTATGATTTATAAGTAAGTACCTACTATAGTCACTCACATATAGTTTTCATTTTTGAAATTTGGTAATTACTATGATTTCTCATCGGAATTCCTTCTGCGATAGGAGCTAATGGAGATACACCTGAAAATTCTAAAATAATGCAAGAAGGTTGGATGCAATCAATCGGGAGGACTGGTCTGACATGCTGACGATCGTGTGTGTTGTAGACATTTTCAATCTATTAGCAGTATCAGCTTGTATTGCAGAAGTGGCAGAAGGCAGAAGGAATTTTAATAAGGAATGACAACATTTCATAATGATAACTATGTGATATGACTATTTACCTGAAAATCATATTCCCTAGTCTCTTGCTGCATTTTTTGTGCATTGTACAACAGCACAATGCGAAGGCATGCTCGAATTAATGAATAGCGCAAAAAACACGATTCGTATGCCAAAATATTGTGAAAAACTATTTCATTCCTTTGATTCCCCTGAAACCAATGAAAAAGTGAGGTTGTGTTTCAATAATTCTCAGAAGAATGAGGTTGTGTTTCAATATTTTGCCTCCGGGGTCGGTCTTCGTGCACGCGACCTATAGGTCGCGTGCAAGAACTGTCAGATGACCGACCCTGGAGGCAAAACATATTTGTTTACAAGTGATCGAAATAGTTTTCCACAATTATTTTGGCATATGAATCGTATTTTTCCGCTATTCATCAATTCGCTAATGCCATCACATTGTGCTGTTGTAAAATGCACAAAAACTGCAGCGGAAGATGAAGAAATCCGGATGGTACATTATGATTCAAAAGTAAGTACCTACTATAATCACTCACATAGTTGTCATTTTTGAAATTTGGTTATTTCTCTGATTTCTCATCGGAAATCCTTCTGCAATAGGATCAGCTAATAGAAATATACCTGAAATTTCTAGAATAATGCAAGAAAGATTCATGCAATCAATCGGTAGGACTGGTCTGACATGCTGACGATCGTGTGTGTTGTAGACATTTTCAATCTATTAGCAGCATTAGCTTGTATTGCAGAAGTGGCAGAAGGCAGAAGGAATTCTAATAAGGAATGACAACATTTCATAATGCTAACTATGTGAGATTACTATTTACCTGAAAAATCATATTCCCTAGTCTCTTGCTGCATTTTTTGTGCATTGTATAAACAGCACAATGCGAAGGCATGCTTGAATTAATGAATAACGCAAGAAACACGATTCGTATGCCAAAATATTGTGAAAAACTATTTCAACCCTTTGATTCCTCTGTAACCAAATTAAAAAGTGAGGTTGTGTTTCAATAATTCACAGAAGAATGAGGTTGTGTTTCAATATTTTGCCTCCAGGGTCGGTCATCTGACAGTTCTTGCACGCGACCTATAGTAAGATAGGTTATGGAAAGTTAGGTTATGCTAGGTTAGACTACATTGAGTTCTGCTTGTATGTATTCTCTCGTTTATTTGCATATCGATCTTTTTGTCTTACCACAGAGTACATCCATTGTATATTTTTTCATAAGAGGAATCACGTTTAGACATTTTTCATCAATTTTTGTTTCCAATACGTCAACTAGGTCATTTCCTATTTCTTCGAATACTCTGATGAAATTTTTTAGGAGATCCAAATTTCCAAAACAGACAGATAAAATTTTCTTACGTTCCCTCCACTTTGTGCCTGGAAATTGGAAGTTTTCAATGGATTTGTATGCATCACTGATCAAAATAGGAAACTTTTATTCAATCTAACAAGAATATCAATTATCTCACGTCCATCTTTGAACGTGCAATGGACGTTCATTTAACGACCATATACCTTCGGATTTTAAATGATTTCAAATAGATATTGAGCTTGAACAATTCTTAATATACTCATTCATTCTTCATCAATGAATACTCGAAGTTGGAATGGCCGTTAAATGGACGATTAAAGCTCAATTCGTATCATCCAATGTTCGTCCGTCTTTCTACATACAATGGATATTGATCGAACTTCCATGAGAGATTAGTCCTGGAGTCGACGTAAAATGGATGTAACAAACGTTAATTCTGAAACATACATTGTACGTCCATCTTCATGAGTATAATGAATGTACATTCTACGTACATGAATGATTCGACATTAAATGGACGTCCATTGGACAAACATACATTGTTTGTACGAAATTGGATATCTATTCAATGTCCATGGACATTTGGAATTGAAATGGACGTCTAATGGATGTCATGTGATGTGTGTGGTGGATGCTAAGAAAGTTTCATTAACTATATAGCAAATATTTGAATAAGTTCCATGATATTACCAATGTTGTTTGATACAACCGATTTAGACAAAGGTATCATAATACTGTGAACGATTAAGCTACCTTCACTGGTAAATAATCCTTCTTCCAGCCATGGCTTAATGAAATATGTGCAATGACCTTTAGCACCTTGAGTTTTCAGAACTGCTCTGATCACATTTTTATCTGTAGTCATCACAGCCATAGCAGGTGGTATAATCACTCTAATCAGGCCACCATTATCATTGATGATTTTTGTTGTTTCTGGGAAAATATCTGGAACAAGTAATTCGATTATTATAATAAAGTGCGAAATTGGCTACCTTCATGACTAAACATATTACTAGCAGAGGTGGGTGCATAAAAGATGACCTACACGTTGAAGGATCCGTCCGCCCACAATTTAAAAATGTCAAATATCAAAATAATAGGGAAATGTATAGTCCAATCATTAGAGGATTTTGCCTTGCAAAAGGTGGCCTGGATAATGAATCTGTAAGTTTTTGACTTGAGGGGGGTTCGGCGCGATCCGCCATCTTGGATTGAAAGTACAAAGGATTAGTTCTTCCTGAATGATTCCTCAACGAATGATCCGACAAGAACAAAGTTTGATACCAAATGAAAGGAGACCGAATTTCCAAAAATTTTCTGTGAAAACACATTTTTCCGTGAGTATTGGGTAAGGAGTTACAGCGGCGGAAATGTAAAATAATTCAGAAAAGCTTGTATAATCTAATTCTTTCATTGGAAAATTTTATAAAAATGTATGAAATTGCAATTATTCCACATTCCTTCACATATCACCATATAGTAATTTTTATAACAACGTATGAATTGATATATGAATTTTTCTACACATAATATAAGTAAGTAAAACGTAAAACGCTAAATGATCAATTAATCACCGATTGACGATCTGTGATTTATTTGAAAAATCAAACACATTTCCATGGCAACATGATTTTTTGAACACATTACCATGGCAACACAGTTTTTGAAACACATTTTGAATCGTTTGAGTCCTGTCCGGCCTGTCAATTGTAGGAACTGTCAACTGTCATTTTCGAATTTTGTTGCAATTTGTAATCGGTGACAATCAGAATTATTCATACAATTTCTGTTCGTATCAGAATTTTTCATTAAAAATACATGCCGAATGTAGGTACTTGCATTGTTTTTTATGTTTTGGTACCCACGAAAAGAGATATCATGTAATGTTCAGAGAACATCGTGAGAACCAAGGGAAATATAGTAGGAATTGGTGTTTTTCTTGAATTTCTGAAGGTTATATATGCCTCCGGGAACACCTCCCTTGGCAATGTGTTCCAGAGCCTCACTGTTCTTTGGATGAACGAATCTTTGGAAAGAGATGTTTTGCAGATCTCCAAAGTGACCACGAAGGGGTGCGAAGCCTCAACTCGAAGAGGTTGATCTCGCGAGGACTGCCAAGGGAGGAACAATTGTTGATATTTCAGAAGAGCATCATCCATGAAAATATCGATAAAAAAGAGCCAGATCGCCAACTTTTTTACGGTGTTCCAGAGAAATGAGTGAGTTTGTGAGCGAGGCATCACCCACGAGACGAATTGCCCTTTTTTGGACAGAGTACAACAGTTTCAGGGTATGTTTGGGTGCTGCACTCCAAATATGGGAGCAGTATTCTGGGACAGGTCGGATCTGTGCCTTATATATCATAAGCAGCTGACTGGAAGTGAAATAGCTCCTGGCCCGAAACAGCAAACCAAGTTTTTGGGATGCACTTTCAGCAATTGATCTCACGTGATTTTCCCTAGAAAGGTTATTGCTGATAGTAAATACCAAGCATCGAAATGGATGTCTTCAAAGGTATGGTTACTCCTGACAAGCTTATGTTGGGCACAGTGAGATCGGCTTTTCTAGAGAAAAGGCATAGCTGTGTTTTGTTAGCATTGAAATCTACCAAGTTATTGGATCCCCATTCGAGAATTGTTGCCAAGTCCATATTTATGTTGTCAACATTCCTCCCTCGTTCGTTTCTGATTTGCCTGGCTAGGGGTGGAGCCCTGGAAGAGAAGGCGGTATGGAGGGTACCTACTATCATCTGCACAGCTGAAGTTTTCCAATTTTGTCGAAATAATCATAAGCTCCAACCCCGAAAACCCCCAGCTATAAATTTCGAGTTGAATCGGATCCTAATTACAAGACTCGTCCGCCATATTGAATCATTTTGGATTGACAAATTTTGACGAAAGAATCATAATCGCTCTATCAATCGTACGTTAAATTTAATTTTTGCAACCCTTTACGGCAATACCAAGGCCATCTCCATCACTGAAAACCTGCGAGACCTCCCAATCAGTTTAGGGAGGAGGTAGGAGATAGCGATCTATCAATCGGACAACTAAATTTGTTGTCAGCTGCTAGAAGCCGTTATTTTGGTTTTTAGTATAACAAAAATTACATGATGCATGGCCACCACAATTATATACAGGGTGGGCCGAATTGGACAAAGTGAAAGTCCTATCCTCGAACTATATTTGAGAAAACTGATGTCGGTGCCTAATGGCCAATCCTCATGGAAAACTCAATGGTGAAAACCGCATTTCGATATCTGTCTTTGTTTCGGAGTTACAAGGTGTTTTTCAAAAATGGGTTTCTTTGGAAACTAGCTACAAATATTTTTTTGGCAAACAATGTCTGTTCTCATGAAAATAACTGCAAAGCATTGAGATTGTGATAAAAATTGAGCCCGATGCACTGAAATCGGCCTTACTCAATCTAAACTGCTGATCAATCGAACCGCATCAAGCACATTTTTGCTCTAAATTCAATATCGAATATTTTCGCGAAAATTCCACTTATTCGGATGCGGTTTCCTTCATTCTGAGGATCGATCCATTGGGTATATGACAGATAGATCGCTGATGGATATACATGGTAACCTCTGGCTATACAGGGTGACAAAACAAACCTCTGCAAAATATTGAAAAATTCTCCATACTCCCAATTTGATGGAAAGTTTTTGAGATTTTTTCCGAGCATATTTTCATAATTCTCAAGCATATTGATCGAAATGGTTTCGCAATTTCTCATCTTTCCAGATTTTCGAGAAAAAGATTTTTTTTTGAAAAATGTGATAATTTGTTCTACTGACCAGAAACATTCTCATTTCAAGCTCAAATATCACAGACTTTTTCTTGGATGAGCTATTGTGAACTTTATTGTATGAAATCTTATATTGTTTATATATACAGAGTGTTTGGCAACAATATTTGATTGATATTATCACAGGAAGACCGATATCGAATCAAATCGAAAATATCAATCAACTGATAACTGCCATTGAAGAGGAATGGAAGCGCATTCCACATGGATTCATATATAAGGAGTTTGATAGAAAGTATGCCGTGAAGTTGTGAAGAAGTGTTAAGGGTGCGAGGGGGACCTACCAAATACTGAACTATGATTTTTTGTCATTTCAGTTCTTATTGCTTCATCGTTTTCAATTAATACATCTCAGTTCTTGCCTTGTTTAACTCTTTGAGTAAACAAAGTCAACTTCTTCAAAATTTCTATTCAGAGGAATAAGCAGGTTATTGTGAATCACCTCGTATATTCTACACTGAGCAACATACCAATAATGAGTAAGAGTGAGAGAGATGACTAAGAATTCATTGATATATCACATACATTTTTGAACTCTCTAAGTTTCATTGCATAAAATTTCCATCAGTCTTGGTATATCACTCTGTATAATCTTCCTCCCGTTTTTTTTCTGCAACTTCAAGGAAAGTTGCTGTCATTCAATCTCGAACACTATACAAGTTTATCAATGTGTTGTGCACGGTCTTCGTGTAATAATATCTATCAAATATTGTTGCCAAACAATCTGTATATAAACAATATCAGATTTCATACAATAAAGGTTGCAATAGTTCATCCAAGGGAAAACCTGTGATATTTAAGCTACAAATGAGAATATTTCTGGTCAATAGTTACAAATTATCACATTTTTCGAAGAAGAATCTTTTTCTCGAAAATCTGGAAAGATAAGAGAGAAATTGCGGAACCATTTCGAGGTATATGCTTGGGAATTATGAAAATATGCTTGAAAAAAATGTCATAAATTTTCCATCAAATTGGGAGTATGGAGAATTTTTCAATATTTTGCAGAGGTTTGTTTGTCACCCTGTATAGCCAGAGGTTACCATGTATATCCATCAGCGATCTATCTGTCATATACCCAATGGATCAATCTTCAGAATGAAGAAAACCGCATCCGAATAAGTGGAATTTTCGAGAAAATATTCAATGTTGAATTTAGAGCAAAAACTGATTTCAATGCCTGAGGATCAATCTCCATGACCACATAATGCTTTGAAAATGTTCCCATGAAAACAAAGAATATTTGCCAAAAAAAAAAAAAGAATTTCAGCCACATTTCAAAAATTCACATTTTCGAAAAACACCTCGTTACTCTGCAACGAAGATAGATATCGATATGTAGTTTCCAATATCGAGTTTGTCATGTGAATTGACAGGCCCCGAATAGGACTTTCACTTTAAAAGTGTCCAATTTGACCCTTCCTGTACTTTTGCCAAATTTCAAACCAACCGGTCTGTTTGAAGTGGGTCAAAATTGAGTCCCAAGGAGTCGGTTACATCCATACATAGAGATGAAGATATATAAAAAAAAGGGAACACCCAGGATCTGTGACCATTTTGTGACTTATTATAAAAGTTTCTGTTATGAGAGGTTATAGAATAATATAATTATTTATTAGGAAGTTGTTTACCTTTGAATCCAGAAAAAGCTAAAGTGTGGCCAAGAAACCAGCTGCATGGTTGAGGTTTCGGTATTTCGCTCAAATATGAATTCAGTCTGTAAAGACCCAAGAGTATTTTGAGAATAAAAAAAACGAGGATTGCTGATATTATCAGCACCACATGAAACATGCTAGTTACAACACTAATGTTTGGTGAAAGACGAAATCTTATCTTTTCGAAAAGTATTTCAGTTTTCAACCTGATTCCTGAATCATCGTACTGATTGTTAACGAACAAGAGATAACGACGATTTGTAAATTACAGTGCTGATGATTATTTCAGGAAAGTAATTTTTAATTATCATTATCAGTACTCAACAACTTCTACGTATACGATATATGATGTTAATTTTTTGCCAGTGGTACCCTGATTTGATATTTTTCGATGAGCTCTTTCCGGAATATAACGTTATAAACTTACAGAGGTTTTCAGGTTATAATTTGAAGATAAATTTTGTATTGATTCTCCTTTTAGTAGGAATAATCAGAATATCAAGTTGGCACCACTCCAAAACCTTTCAATGACACCAATAAGTGATTTATTGATTTGTTGGTTGATTACTTGAACAAGGGTTGCAGGTTGATGTTATCTTCACCGATCTTGCTAAGGCCTTTGACTCAGTTGATCACACGCTACTCATTTACAAATTAGAATTACTTGGTGTGGTTGGTAGTTATTTGAAACTCATTTCATATTATTTGAATAATCGTATTCAATATGTGAGAATTGGTAATTCACTATCTAAAATGATAAATGTTACTTCTGGTGTGCCTCAAGGATCTCACATAGGCCCAATACTTTTTTGTATTTCATTAATGACTTGAAATTCTTTAGGGTAGTTTCGTCCGAACAAGATTGTAATGTAATCCAAAATTAATTGGTTGAATTTACCAAATACTGTGAACTCAATTTATTGAAAATTAATGTAAATAAGTGTAGAATTATGCGTTTTTATAAAGTACATGTACCAACTATATTTAACTATTCAATTAATGATGTTGATTTGCAAGAGGTATCTAGTATCAGTGATTTAGGGGTAATGTTTGACAAAGAACTCACTTTTAACGACCATATTGATAGTATTTGTAACAAATCTCTGAGAATGGTAGGATTCATAAAAAGACAAGCTGAAAATATTTCTGACCTAGATGCAATCAAGACTTTATACATATCCCTGGTGCGGAGTGTTTTGGAAAATAATAGTATAATTTGGTCACCAGCATATAATTGTCATAAGCAGCGGTTGGAGATCGTCCAGGGGAGGTTCACTAATTTCCTTGTTTGGAAACATAGGCTATCTTTTAATGGATTTGATTCTTTGACAAGACAAGACAAGACATTATTTGATCTCCAAACTTTGGAAACTCGGAGAATGTTAGCTATGGCTCACTTTCTTTTCAAGATTGTGAATGGTGTTATTAATTGCAATCAAGTAATGGAATAATTATGTTTGTCATTTCATGCCAATCCCTGGACCACAAGAAATTGTCGAACCTTTTATGTTAGAACTCATCGTACTAACTATCGCCGCTCTGCATTTTGTTGCAGGCTTCAACAGAATTATAATGAAAATTTCCCTTTAGTCAATATTTTTGATATACCTTTTAATAAGTTTAAGAAGCAACTGACATCACTGTTGAAATTTTAATTTGTAACTTATTTCTATTTGTCTTGAATCTCTGTTTTTTTTTTACCATGTTATAGTATAGTCTCCATTGTTGTTTATGCATGTTTTTTATCATTATCATTTGTATTTTCACTTTGAGCGTATCATTTGGAATTTGTATTTAATTCTGTAGTATACTAGATGAAATAAATAATATTTTCGCAAAATATCTTTGAATTTGTTATGAATGAATTCCTACAGCGAGTTTCCAACGGTTAGAAGAGGATAGATGATTTCATCAAACATATCAAGGTACAGATTGCCAGTCAACTTCTTTTCAATGAATTCAATAAAGGACCAATAAAAGCATTTCCAAGAATACCGGCCAAAATAATAACTTTTTGTGGGTGTTAGGTATGTCCTTCATTTTTCACTGAACCAATTTTGTAATCAAGCACATCATATGGTGACTTACAAAACTCACATTACAATTTATATTTCTCAAATTGTGAAATTTTTCAGAAAATTATATTCTACTCATGTTTTGAATGTCAAGGACATATGGTAGGAACAACTTCAAAAACTGCTCCACAGTTCAGGGTTAAAGCACCATCTTGATTCATCAAATTTTGACAGAATTATTTATTATACAGAGGGTGTCTGTAAATGGTCTGTACAACATCTCTGCACATATTCCCAAATTCAAAATAAGCCGATTTAAAGCAACTTACTTCAGTCCGAAATTGCTCTGTTTCTGAGATACAGGGTGTTGAAAATGGTATACTAAAATCAACTAGTACACTCCAAGAAAGTATATCGAAGACTGGAACCTTTGGCACGATAATACACTACACTGTTTTACCACTAACCAAACCGATATTCAAAGAACACATAGCCCATTTAAAATATGGCAGGTTAGATAAATCTTGTGTAGCCGAACATATGTTCAATCACAATCATAACACACATATTACTAACCTAAAATTAGTTAAGCAAGTTAATAACATTAAAAAACTAGACGCATATGAAAGCTTAGAGATATTTAAGAATAGTAATAGAGTAATGAATAAGAATAATAGACCTATTCCATATAGCCCTCTATATAGTTTAGTAAAATAAAAATTGAGATTAACATGTGAACTCAACCATGACAAACATTAACTTGACGGTTAGTATTTTTCACAGTTGGGTGAACATATACCCAGTATATAAGCAGCACACTAGAATAGGATATTTAGTTTTAATCTTCTCCTGAAGATGCTAACATAGTTAGCGAAACACGTGTCGAGGCGTCAAAAAATCGGTTTGGTTAGTGGTAAAACAGTGTAGTGTCCAAGAAAGTATTTTGAAAAATCCATAATTGCACCGCTAATAGACTGACCGAATGACTTCTAAGCAAACGGACCACTTTAGCAGACTATCACAAAAGTTTTTTTTTTGCCTAAGAATGTTCAGATAAATATTTCCCCAATGAATGAAATGAGGAACTACACTGAGAAAAGAGTTATGATCATTCAAAACCATAAGAAGTGCATTTGTAAGCCCCCTCCAGAGATTATTAATCTCTGCCTTTTTTTTATCGCTTGGAGCGCACGAAAGGGAATCCCTATAATGTTCGAAGAACATCGTGCGTTCCTAGGGAGGATAGGGACAGGAGGTAGGTATTGGAATTTTTTTTGAACTTTTGGAGATTATATGTTGTTGGGAATACTTCCACAGGCAATGAATTCCAGAGCCTAGCCGTTCTATGGATGAAGGAGTCTTGATAAAGTGCTGTTCGACATCTTTCGAGGTTGACAACGAAAGGATGTGCTGACTGGGCTTGTCTAGTTCGTCTGATTGGTATTGCTAGTGAAAGGATGATAGCAGAGATTTCCGAAGAACATTTCCCGTGGAAGTATCGGGGGTAATACCACAAGAGCTCAGATTTAGCCGGATATTTTTTGTGGTTGTTTTCGAATACTTACTTTCATTGGCAATTTAACGAGAGCTGTTCTGACAAAATCACGAGAGCGAAGCTCGAGTGATTTTGTCCGAATAGATCGAGTTAAATTACCTATATGAAAGTAAGTATGAGAAAACCACCGTAAAATATATCCTGCTAGATCTGAGCTCGCGTGGTATTTGGTAAGACAATTCCATGAATAGAAAACTCAATTCAATTAAACTTTATTTAACCAACTAAAAGAACAACAAGTAAAAGAATAATGTTTAGAAAGAACAGTTGTTAAAAACACAATTATTATATACAATTGGTTCAGTAGACATTTGCTCCTTTACTGATGTAGATTTTGTGTTTGACATTGACATGGATGTGGACACTATGGCTGATTCATTATCCAAGGCTTTATTTAGAAGATTTGTTACAAGATGCGAATGATGCTCATTATCAAGTTGTAAATAAGGCTTTATGGACCTGGAAGAGGAATGTCCAGTTATTTTTATCAATTCTTGTTCATTGATACCTGCTTTAGCTAGAGTTGACACGGCGCTTGAGCGATGAGAATGATTAGAAATTTTTTTATTCTTTGTATCCAGTCCAATTTTTTCAGCTGAAATTTTCGTCCACTTGAGAATTTCGTTGACTCCTATAGGAACATTTTTGTACCAACTTTTCGGTGAATTACTTTTCCAAAACGGATTGGGGGTTATAAATAATCTATCAGTTGTAATATGGTTCGGTCTATGTGATAATATTTTATAAAACAATGTTACTGGGCATATGCTTGGGTTTTCTATGTTTTTTATTAGCCATTTACTGTCGCAGCATTTGTTTGAGCCGCCCTGACATGTTTTGGAAAAAACTGTATTATATTCAATGCGGCCAGTAAAATCACCATTATTTGATTTTTCTTCTTTAAAATAGTGTACTACACATTTTGCAGCTTCACCTCCTCGCCAAGCTAATTCATATGCAGCGATATGAAAAAATCTTTTTAAAAGACCTATAGGACTATTTTCATCCCATATCAATGCCATTTTAACAATTTCACTTTTAGTCAAGGCTGTTGAACTATTTTTACGTTTTTCTAAATTACCTTGTAAGTTCTTTCGCTTAGAATTACGTGCATCACGGGATTTCTTGAATGCCAAATCAGTGAAAGGATTGAAAATAACATTAAATTTTTCGAAATACATGCTTTGCAACATCTTCGCTGTTGTGTTCCACATTGTTTTCACCACGTATTCTTTATAATCTTCCCCATTCTGTTTCTTCATATTAAAGCCCCAGTCCATCAATATTCCTGCCACATTTTCCACTGACTGTTCGGTTTCCAAATTGAAGTTTCGTTGTTTACAAAATTCGCTGAATTGATTCCAAATGGAGGATTGACTTTTTTTTGTATTTTCTGGAGTTGATTTTTCAATCTCCCTCACTATTTCTGCCTCGCAAATGTTTCCAAATCTCGACATACTCACTGGAATATTATTTGCTGATTAATTCTGTTTTTGACATTTACAATTGTCAAACTGATGCGACGCGCAATAACTCTTGATGAACGAACAGTAAATACTAGCGTTGCTACGGTAACGTAATTTATCCGATTTTTTTATCCACTTGCATTTCTGTTCCTTCATATTTAGCCGATAGCAAACTACGAT